TAGAAATAAACGACTTTATAACACCAAAATGTGGTTTTCATTTAATTAGACACTCAACGTTTCGCTTCTTTAGAGCTTCTTCAGGTGCGTTCACTAAAACACAAACCGAAACTGACAGTAAAAAGCTTTTTACTTTCAGTTTCGGTTTGTGTTTTAGTGAACGCACCTGAAGAAGCTCTAAAGAAGCGAAACGTTGAGTGTCTAATTAAATGAAAACCACATTTTGGTGTTATAAAGTCGTTTATTTCTAGTATTAATATATAAAAGCTAGTGTATGTCACGCTTGATTTTTCTTGATTTCTTGAAACAGGAGAAGTCATAAAAGCTAAAATGCAGTAATTCAGATAGAATAGTTCGAATATTGTCTGCCTATTACGGTTTTAGTTACGGGGGTGCAAGGAGGTCGTGAGGGGTGTTGCCATGAAACCTTATAAGTGTAGCGAGTGTTAGTACAAAAAGCCTAAAATAAAGACGTAGTGTGGGATCACCTAGTCTAGAGCCAAGTGCATAAAAATATAGATTCAATTCTAAACTTAAATCATTTCTGAATCAAGCTATTTTCTATTATATCACCAACATTAAAAAAAAAACTCTTTAATCAACAGAGACTCTAAGTTAAGAAACCAACAAATATTTTTCCAGTTCTGTTGTTTATACATTTCATTTTATACTTTCAGTACATAGACTAATCACAATATTAGGTTATACTTTGGTTGCTAAGCGACATGACATAAAAGACATTGTAGTGTTATCAAAACACTTTGCTTTTCAATATATTAGAAGTTGTTAATCTAACTGATTTTTCCCCATTATTATTATACGAATACGCCACGAATTCATTTCACGAATGATCTTATTTTTGATTGGCTCACAAAGGAATTTACTGACGTTTGACTGCCTTTTGTTGGTCAAGCTTTATTTCGCAAAATTTATTTATTTCAGTTAGCTATAAAATGTGAGGTTAGGGTATACTATGAGGTGGGGATCTTATTTAAGAAGCACTTGACGTTTGTTAAATAACTACATTTTTAAAATGACTCAACTTTATTCGATTATGTGGTTTGCAATATTTTTTGCTTCAAAAAGTTTAATTTATTTTACCATACAGATCATTTTAAAGCAAAAAAATGTTATAAAAATCGCATTTAAGTCTTTTAATTAGTTTATTACACTTTCGAGCAATTGTGATTAAGAGACTACACTAATTTTCCTTTTTTCCCCATTATTTTATCTAGAGAAGTGAAATTATTTATAGTTATTTACAAGAATCCCTAAATTTTCGTTTTCTTTATCACCAGCCCCCCAGTGGCACAGCGGTATGTCTGCGGACTCACACCGCTAGAAACCGGGTTTCGATACCGTGGTGGGCAGAACACAGATAGCCCATTGTGTAGCTTTGTGCTTAACTAAAAAAAAAAAACAACAAACAAACTTTATCACTAAACTTTCTGAACACTGCTGAAAAATACCAAAGAAATATATATATATTCGGGTTGCACTTTGGCCAGTTACGATGTTTTGAATTTCGCGCAAAGCTACACGAGGGCTATCTGTGCTAGCCGTCCCTAAGTTAGCAGTGTAAGACTAGAGGGAAGGCAGCTAGTCATCACCACCCACCGCCAACTCTTTTACCGTTACATTATAACGCTCTCACAGCTGAAAGGGCGAGCATGTTTGGTGTGACGGGGATTCGAACCCGCGACCCTTACATTGCGAGTCGAGCGCCCTAACCACCTGGTGGCCATGCCGGGCCGTTACGATGGGACGGCTATACAACTGTACGAATGTTATGCAGTATTTTCGATAATTCTGCCCCCAGTGCTAGAATCCGGGTTTCGATACCCGTGGTGGGCAGAGCACAGATAGCCCATATATTTATAATTATTACTAACGAGATATCTTCGTGTAGTTATTTTTAGCTACATATTCTAATGTATTTCGATATTTATCATGATTGGGGCAAACTATCATACGACTTAAATTAAAGCATCTGATATTTGACACACGCGCCTCCTCACTGTCAACTTGCTCAGTGGTAAGTGTGAAGGTCTATAACACTAAAAATCGGATTTCGATACCTTTGATGCCAGAGATTTGCGCTTAAGTTAACAATAGACAAACAAAAATTGTGCGCCATTTTCAGTTTCACGTTGTCTTCACTAGCTTTTTAACTGATCCTCGGGTCATTGTATTATTTTATTACCATTGTCATGTAATTTTATTTTATTATTAATTAGATATTCTGAAATAATAATAACAATAAATCAAATGTAGATATTTAAATAATTATAAGTATAAAATTAACGAAAATAGTGTATTATCAGTAATGTGTTCGG